ACCATCTAATTTGGCTTTTTATAATCCTGTCTTAACATCCCATAAACTAATAGACTTATCATGATTACAAGATGCTAATGTATTTCCATCAGGAGAGTAACAAATTGAATTAACTTCACTTGAATAACCATCTTAATTGGCTTTTCATTTTCCTATCTTAACATCCCATAAACAGATAGAGCTATCATGACTACCAGATGCTAATGTATTTCCATTAGGAGAGTAACAAATTGAAAAAACAGCACTTGAATCACCATCTAATTTGTCTTTTCATTTTCCTATCTTAACTTTCCATAAACAGATATACTTTTCATGACTACCAGATGCTAATGTATTTCCATCAGGAGAGTAACAAATTGATAAATTGCACTTGAATGACCATCTTCATTGGCTTTTAATTTTCCTGTTTTACGATTCCATAAACAGATAGACTTATCATGACTACCTGATGCTAATGTATTTCCATTAGGAGAGTAATAAATTGAATTAACTGTTCCTTAATGACCATCTAATTTGGCTTTTCATTATCCTGTCTTAACATCCCCAGGAAAGTAATAAATTGAATTAACTTCATTTTAATGACCATCTAATTTGACTTTTTATAATCCTGTCTTAACGTCCCATAAACTAATAGACTTATCATCACTACCAGAAGCTAAAGTATTTCCATCAGGAGAGTCACAAATTGAAAAAACAGCACTTGAATGACCATCTAATTTGTCTTTTCATTTTCCTATCTTAACTTCCCATAAACGGATAGACTTATCATGACTATCGGATACTAATGTATTTCCATCAGGAAAGTAATAAATTGAATTAACTTCACTTGAATGACCATCTTCATTGGCTTTTAATTTTCCTGTCTTAACATCCCATAAACAGATAGACTGATCATGACTACCAAATACTAATGTATTTCCATCAGGAGAGTCACAAATCAGATATCCCTTTCATGACTACCAGATGCTAATGTATTTGCATTAGGAGAGTAACAAATTGATAAATTGCACTTGAATGACCATCTTCATTGACTTTTAATTTTCCTGTCTTAACATCCCATAAAACTAATAGACTTATCTTTACTACCAGATACTAATGTATTTCCATTAGGAGAGTAACAAATTGAAGTAACTGCATTTGTCTGACAATCTAATTTGGCTTTTAATTTTCCTGGCTTAACATCCCATAAACAGATAGACTTATCATGACTACCAGATGCAAATGTATTTCCATTAGGAGAGTAACAAATTGATAAAACTGCAACTTGAATGACCATCTGATTTTGGCTTTTCATTATCCTATCTAAACTTCCCATAAACAAATAGACTTTTCATAACTACCAGATCCTAATGTATTTCCATCAGGAGAGTTCACAAATTAGAATTAATTTCACTTGAATGACCATCTAATTTGGCTTTTAATTTCCTATATTAAAATTCCATAAATGGATAGACTTATCATGATTACAAGATGTTAATTTAGTACTATCAGGAGAGTAACAAATTGAATTAACTGCATTTGTATGACAATCTAATTTGGCTTTTCATTTTACTGTCTTAACATCCCATAAACAGATAGAGTTATCATTATTACAAGGTGCTAATGTATTTCCATTTAGGAAAGTAACAAATTGAAAAAACAGCACGTGAATTACCATCTAATTTTGGCTTTTCATTATCCTATCTTAACTTCCCATAAACTAATAGACTTATCATAAGTACCAGATGCTAATGTATTTCCATCAGGAGAGTAACAAATTGAATTAACTTCACTTGAATGACCATCTTCATTGGCTTTTAATTTTCCTGTCTTATCATCCCATAAACAGATCGACTTATCATAATTACAAGATGCTAATGTATTTCCATCAGGAGAGTAAAAAATTGAAAAAACTGCACTTGAATGACCATCTAATTTGACTTTTCATTATCCTATCTTAACTTAAATGGATGGAGTCATCAATCACTCCCACACACTATTG